GGGCTGGGGATTCGAACCCGCCACCTTAGGTGTACGTGGCTGGCGCCTTAGCCAGTTGAGCTATAGGCGCTGAGCCTGACCTTGAAGTTTCATCAAGACTTTTTTTTGTTTTTTTTGAGAGAGCATCTCATTCTGTCACCCAGACTATGAGTGCTATGACCTCAGCCTAACTCACAGCAACCTCAAACTTGGCTCAAGTGATCCTCCTACCTCAAGCCTCGAGAGTAAGTAGGACTATACTCCACCATGCCTGGCTATTTTTTCTATTTTTAGCTGAGATAGAGGTCTTGTTCTTGCTCAGGCTGGTCTCAAGTTCCTGAGCTCAGAGGCTCCTCCTACCTTGACCTCCCAGAGTGATAGGATTATAGGCATGCACCATCATGGCCCACCCCATTAAGACATTTTTTATATCACAAAAAGCAGGTTGTTCATGATATAGTAGTTAGTACCTAATGAAACTTAATAAATAACATTTTTAAAGATTTGATACCTGTTGCATTCTTATCCATGAAGGGAGGCCCCTTAAATCTGGTACTTTACCCTGTGGAACAAACAATCTTTGTGCTGAAGGAGCCAATTGTGGAAAGAGACAGAAACTAACTGGGACTACAGGTGCCGGCCACAACACTTGGCTAGTTTTTGTTGCAGTTTGGCCGGGGCTGGGTTTGAACCCACCACCCTTGGTATATGGGGCCGGTGCCCGAGCCACAAGACACTGCCCTGGGTTGCAAATTTTTAAATGTTTGCAGCTGGGGAATCTTTAGAAGCAAACATTCACATATAAAAATCAGATCAAAGTGAAGCTATTTTATTGGTGGTGAGGGGTAGCTTGCTTGCACATCTTCCACGGTGGGGGGGGACTCACCCCCCTCCTGGAGAATCTACTGACTGTGGGAAGGCTGAGCTCTGTCTGCTGCCTTTTGTGATCCCCACCCTGCCTGAAGCTCCAAACAGCTTGAAGGGGTTCCCTCTCCTCTCCTGTGAAAAATACAAAGCAAAGATAGCATTGCTTCCAGTTCTAATCCTGGCTCCATCATGGACTAGCTGCGTGTACTCGAGCTCGTCGCTGCCCTGTGCTTCAGTTTCCTCTCTTTTAAATGGCGAATAATAACAGTGCCATACTTGAGGGGTTATGGTGAAGATTAGAAGTGATGATGTGGTTCATGTAAAACTCGGCACTTGATCAACCTTCAACAAATTATAGCTCCATACCTCCCTCATCACACGGGGAAGGAGAAGAGGAGGAGGCGGGGTCTAGAGAGCAGGGCTGAGGGAGAGGCTCAGGCATACGCATTCCCACCCCATTCCCTGACAGCACACAGCTAATTCCCAACACGCTTCCTGAGCTGAGGCCTATGGGAAGGTGCGAATGGTGAGAGCAGGTTCTGCTCCTGGAGCCCCCAGCCCGGTGCCTCAGCTATCTTACTCTGTCCCTCGTTCCCAAGCCCATGGCATGGCACCTGCAAATAGCAGAGACCTGTATGTCAGGGGGACCTGGTGCAAATCTCAAGTTCTCATGTTTGGCCAGGCTGCTTTATTTATAGGAACTTCAGTTTCCTAATCTGTAAAATGGGAATGAAAATGGTACTAGCCTCATGGAACAGTTTATTTGGGATAAAATAATAAGTATTGCAATGTAAAAAATTTAGTAATAAGAGCAAGAAAACCAGGATGGTTGCAGACCCAGATACCTCCTGCATGAAGTATCTGAGTTTCTTCCCCTCCCAGGTCCCACCCACAGAGTTTAGGCCTGCAGACTCTCTGAGACTATAGGGGGAGATCCATCTTTTTACTGTACTTTCCTCTGGGACTCAAGTTTGCAGTGGTTCAACCCACACACCTTTTGGGACTGAGATCCCTTGTTAAAGTTTGCTTTGCCTGAGGTCCAGGCCCCACCTGTCCACTGAATAATAGCCATGCTGGGGAGGGCAAAGAGATTGACACGGGCCTGGCATGGATCATAAAAACAGAGGTTCCCTGGGTACCCTGGGGATCTGGAGGTGGCCGTGGGGTGGGCTATATGGGGGCTGGGTGTCACCCTGGATGGTGGGGATGGTTTGCTTCCACACAGGTCCCACATGGTGCCTGGCACAGGGAAGTGCTAATTTGAAAGACGCTGGTGGTATAGACTTTGGGAAAACAAACCAACGGCTGGGGTAGGAGCAGTAGAAGACTCCAGGACGCTATGAGTGGGTGGGAGTTCCAGAGTCAACCCCCTAGGTACCTAGGTACTGCAGGAGAATCCCAGGCACATTACTGGGTTCCTGAATATGGGAGAGGATTCATGGGGCAGCTCATAGAACTGCCTATGAGCGATCAAGGAAGGGGGACCTCAACTGTGGGGTGGGAGTTAAACAGTGACACACAATCCCGGATGCCCACCAGACAGACACCTGATCATCTCCCTCGAGGCCACCACCTCTGGCCCCAGCCTCTCTTCAAGCTGCCTCAGGGCAGTCGCACCCTCTGTAGAGAGCAGGCCCTCCTCAGGGACTCCTGCCAGCCTCTGTGTCCTCCTGACCCCTACTTTGCAGGGCCCTTGTTGTGCGTCCCTTGCTCTGGCTGTCTCACACCAAAGGCCTGCCTGTTTCTGGGGCACCTTCCTGTGTAACCTCATTAGATTGTTCCAGCCGGTTTCTGGGAGCCCTGGCTGTCCTGGCTGGGGCGGGGCAGGCAGGCTCCCCACCAAGGGCCCATAGAGGGTACGGGCACACTCACCCAGAAGCAGGTTCATGAGCACCTCCTGGCCGGCCAGGGTGCTGCTCTTCACCAGGCAGAGGATGGTGCCCCCAATCCAGGGGATGCCGTGGCCTGTGATGCCAATAAGCTTGACCATGGAGCGGGCACCGGCCCAGGATGCAGCCCGGCCAGCGCACACCCCCAGCCGCTTGGACATGCAGATGTCAATGGCCAGCAGGGAGTTGAAGGCGATGCCCTTGAAGGAGGGGTTCAGCTGCATGCAGTCCTCCTCCGGCAGCTGCTGTGACTGGCGTCGCTCACGGGCCCCATCGCCAGCGGGCGGGGGCTGCACTGAGGGGCCTGAGGCCTTCCTGACGGAGCTGCTGCGGGCCTCCGGGGCCCCTTTGGGGGGCTGGTTCAGGGACAAGAACTCAGCCCGGTTGAGGATGTTGTTCCGGTCCCGGGCACGGGCCCTGCTCTGGGAAGCTGGCATGGTGACCTCACTCACTCTGAGAAGGCTGGTGCCAGTCGGCTCTGAGGGCCTTGTCCCCAAAGACAAGAGTTGCCCCGAGAGCTGCCACCGCTGCCTGCCTCCCTGCCTTCTCCACAGCAGCTGTTAAATATAGAGTGGAGGATTGCACATGCTGTTTACCTCCGTGGCCACCAGGCGCCGGGGGGGATGTCAGTGCCAGCTGGGCAGCCAATCTAGCCCATCAATGCCAGGCCAGCACCAACAGAGCCACAGGGAGGCCAGAGCTCACAGCTGCGGCCTGGCTGCCTCAGGCCTGGGCTATTTAAATCTGCCAATGGCTCAGCCAGGGGGCTTTGGGGGATTCTGGGAAATGTAGTCCTCCTGCTGCTCTGGACTCCGTTGTGGCCTTGGCTTCTGATGGGGCAGAGGTGGACTCCGGACTTACCCCTGCTTTCACCAGCTTCCTCCGAGTAGTGCAGACCCCTGCGAGCCAGGTCTGCCAGCCCCACCTGCCTGGCAGCTTGGACCTACTTCCAGGGACAGGACGGTGGAGCCCAAGCCAGAGGCCTCTCCCGGCACCAGATGGAGTTAGTGACGTCACTGACAGCATCATCTAGGGTCCCTGGGGCCAGGCCCAGCTCCTCCCTCTGTGACAGTATTCATTAAACTGGCAGGTTGGGTTTTCCCCCCCTTCCCTTTCAATCTATCTTTAATTCCTTCTCAGTCCATGACAGTTCAATCAGTTTGCAACTGTAAGATGTGATTTCCAGTAGAGGGAGGGGTAGTAAATTGGCTGGTAATGGATTGCCCCTTGAAGGGACTCAGGATTTTGCAAAGGAGAAGGGCTGTGGCAACTTTAGGCAGCCCATAGATAGGTCCTGAGCACCTGGCATGACTCTAGGTGACAGCCCCATCCCTGGGAATCTAGTTCTGTGAGGATTAAAAGAGTGACATACCTGAGTGATCACAGAAGCAGCTCTGGGCCTGGCCTGGGAGTCATGGAGGGCTTAGAGTGGAGCAGGGGGCAGTCCCAGGCAGGGGAAAGCTGCCCTGCAGGCGGGTGGAAGGCCCATCTGGTGTGTGGGGTAAAGGGGGAAGAGAGACAAAGGCTGCAAACCCAGGGGCAGCCCGAGAGGCCTCCCTGCAGCTGTGACCTGCAGGAGCCCAAAGTCTCCACAGTCCCTTTATGTCTGGCTGGCCTGGGTTTGAGAGGGGAAACTGCTCATGTGAACTGACTGGAAGAGTCAGACGTGAACTTCCTTGTCTCAGGATTCCAGATGGCCAAGGCCAGTTTGCCCAGCCCAGATTGAGGCAGCAGGCAGCCACCTCTCTCCCGGTCACAGAGCCCACCAGAAAGCCACCTGAGAACAGGAAGCTTCCAGGGGCAGGACGAGTGTCCCCTGGCCACAGGGGAATAGTACATCGGCTTGAGTCAGATAGATAGGGCTGTGCCATCTGTTGTGGCTCTGCCACCAACAAGCAGTGAGACCTTGAGCAAGTCGCTGTGCCTTGATGGGCCTTGGTTTTTCTACCTGGAACACAGGAATAATAGTGCCCACCTTTTAGGCTTGTGTGAGTCTCTGTGAGGTAGGGTTTGTAGATGCTGAGTGGGGTCTCTGCCACACAGTGAGCCTCTGACCCTGTGAGTGCCCCCTTCAGAAGGAACCACACTATGGTCTGGCCCCACCCTATCCCTGGTTGGGGTGAAGCTAGAGTCCAAGGTGGGCTCTGTGACTGGGAGAGAGGTGGCTGCCTGCTGCCTCCATCTGGGCTGGGCAGACAGGCCTTGGCCACCTGGAATCCTGAGATGAGGAAATTCACATCTGACTCTTATCAGACCCCTGGAACAGGCTAGGTCTACCTCAGTCCTCTTCCTCTTCCAAAGGGTTCCATTCAGGCTATGTGGCCAGACGAGGTTGTTCTGACTGCCTCCTGGACGTAGCAATGATGCCATGTGCTGCTTCATGCTGACTCAGGGCTGTGGACACAGACACAAGTGGGAGCGTGCATGGAAGACATGGATGGCGGCTGGTGTGCTGAGCTCTCCACGTGCATCTGCATGCTGACACTGCATCACCAGCATCCCGTGAAGTGGTGAGGATATCGACCCCACTCACTGATGCAGAGGCTGAGGCTGAGGGGGTGAAGGCCTCCATCCAGAAAGCCAAAAACAGAAGAGGTCCAACTTATGGGGTGAGGACATGAAGGCCTTTGGGTTCAGACCCCTGGACCATGAGAACCTGCATATGTTTGCTCAGCTCTCCACCAGGGTACTCACCCCACTGTCCCAGGGTGGGGCCCATGACCCAGGGTAGCCTCAGCCCAGACAGGGGCTATTAATACCCCGAGACTTGTGCCAGCATTTTGGTTTGGCCAGAGCAGCTGGCAGGTTCTCAGGGCCATGGTGGGCCCCACACTGGAAAGGGTCATTGGGTCTGATTTGGCTCCAGCCTAGTAGACATGAGGACAGTCCCTGGCCCAAACCCTGGTTCAGCCACTTCCAGGTGAAAGACCACAGGCAAGTCCCTCTATCCCTCCCGGCTTCTATTTCTCCCTTGGAGGGTGAGAAGATTATGTGAAAGGTTCTTTCAGCCTGAAATGCCTGCCTGCCTGCACATGCTGTTTACCTCTGCTGCTCCTAGGCCTGCTGACTTCCCCGGCAACCCTGAGACCTGCTCCTCTCCTCTATATGGTGGTATGAACCTGTTTACGTTCTCAGGTGGCTGAGAATCAAGCACCAACTCACAAGTCTTTATGAGCCCCTCCTGTGCTCCCATTTCTCAAGTCTTAGAATTCATTCATTCATTCAATGCTTTCATTGATCTCGTCCTGCTGGAGAAGAGTCCAGTTGGGGAGATAGAATACAGACCCATGAAATAAGTAGCCAGTTTAGAAAACAATTTAATTTTACCAATAACTTTATTTTTTTCTTACTATCAAAGTATCATATACTTATAATAAATTGAATAAATATGATGATATAGGTATAATCCCACTACCTGGAGATCAATACCGTTAACATGAGGGTGATTGGGATATAAAGGGATTCTCACTTGTCTTATTTCCAATTACCAAAATATTTTATATCAATAAAGCATTACTTTAATAGTCAGAAAAGAATATATATTAAACTATATGTATATCATATAGTTTTGCAACACATATGACAATATGCATTAAAAATGTATGATCACTGGAATATTAGGCAGCCTTAAAGAAAGATGGAGACTTTACCTCCTTCATGCTTACCTGGGTGGAGTTGGAACATATTCTTCTTAGCAAAGTATCTCCAGAATGGAAGAAAAAGTATCCAATGTACTTAGGCCTACTATGGAACTAATTTATAGCTTTTATATGAAAGCTATAACCCAATTATAGCTCAAGAATATGGGGAAAGGGGAAAGGGAGGGGAGGAGAGGACGCAGGATGGGTGGAGGGAGGGTAATTGGTGGGACCGCACCTATGGTGCATCTTACAAGGGTCCATGTGAAACTTACTAAATGTAGAATATAAATGTCTTAACACAATAACTAAGAAAGTGCCATTAAGGCTATGCTAACCAGTTTGATGAAAATATTTCCAATTGTATATAAAACCAGAACATTGTACCCCATGACTGCATTAATGTACACAGCTATGATTTAATAATAATAAAAAAAAGATCATGTTGTGAGTCCTTTAAAAAAAAATAACCTCAAAAAAAAAAAAAAAACCTCTTGGTGGCACCTGTGGCTCAGTGAGTAGGGTGCTGGTCCCATATACTGAGGGTGGCAGGTTCAAACCCTGCCCCAGCCAAACTGCAACAAAAAAATAGCTGGGCATTGTGGCTAGTGCCTGTAGTGCCAGCTACTCGGGAGGCTGAGGCAAGAGAATCGCCTAAGCCCAGGAGTTGGAGGTTGCTGTGAGCTGTATGACACCACAGCACGCTCCCCAGGGCAACAAAGTGAGACTCTATCTACTCGGGAGGCT